ATAAGGAGCTCCAGTTGCGTTAAGTCAAATTTTGCTTTGTGCCTTGACGCTGCTTTTTCCGTCTGTCGTTTGACCGTGTTCATCGCGATGCCCGCCCCAACCGCATACGTCCTCGTCATTTTGGCTTAGTTGCATTCAACTGGTCTTTGCAGGATCTACCCTGCGTTAATAGTGCATCTTCGGAGGAAGACGAAGTGATCCGGCTTCGACTTTGAGCTAGATTGCTAGGACCGACAGGCAGCAGTGTTCCCGCCAACGTTGTGGAGGAGGCACAACTTCTTATCCCCTTGGGCATAGAGGAGCCAGACCAGGGCAGGCACACAGATGAAACAGGAGTATCTACATCAAAGACAGAGCTAGTACAGGAGCATTGGGTACGCTGATGGGGTGTTAGCTAATCCGAAGTTTTTCTTCGCTAACCACTGCTACACCCGAATCACATTGAAAGCTTAGGTACTTGGAGGCAGCGTGCTGAAGACAGTGGTACTGAGCTTGACAAATGTTACAGCACCCTATGTGCATCCAACTCTCGCAGAGGGCGCACTGGACAGCCTTTGACCGGGAAGTGACACCTTTGCCACAGTCAACGCATTTAGACGTTCTCTGCCGTGTATAGTAGTGCATGCAAAGGTTTCGTTACTTGCGAGTCTTACGCGGTAACTCGATATTTTGGCGTGCCATGCTGATCGAGCTTTTCAGCTGATTTAACGTGGAAAACAGTGTCTTAATAAACACTTGAAACGAAATTTGACTATTGTCAAATTTTCTCTGATCCAAGATATCTTGGATCGATTAAAGTGGTACTAGCCAAAGCGCCTTTGGCGCTTACTGGTAATTGTTCCGGTTGTTCCCAGTTTTAATCCCGTTTTGCACCCTGTTTTTGTCTTTTTATTGCGGTCGTTTTCCTATTGTATACTTGTTGTAATTCTAATCTGTTTAACATGGCCGTCTCGCTAAACACCGAGACGGATGGATCTATGGGGTCCTCGTTTGATGAGTCTACTGCAGCTTGCGGACAGGTTAACTGTTCAGAGCCAGTAACAGATGCATCTGGTGGTATGCAGTGTGCCGTCTGCTGCCGCTTGTATCACAAAAGCTGTACCGGCCTACAAGCTGACCATTACAAAATGCTATCATCAAGCGTCCACTTTCTCTTCAGCTGCGCTGAATGCTGCTGGAATTCGCTTCCAGATCACGTGGTTAGGGAACCCACAGTTAAGGGTTTTGCGCGCCAGCTCGATGCTGTTGGGTGGCAACAGCAAACCTTTCCTTTATCCTAGCTGACTCACCTTCACTTTTCAGTTCTTTTTTATTGACTCAAATATCTTGGTATTCCACTTGCTTAGCTCTTACCACTTTCTCTTTTGCCTTCTTCGTTTACTTTTTTCTCTTTCTTACTTCACGTAACCGACCCAGCAGGGACTGCTAGGGCAGGATACATGGGCATTAATTGGTTGGACAGGGTGTGATTCGGTCTTTGTCTTAGGTCCATCAGTATTCCAAAGTTCGCCAACTCCTGGTTCAACGACCCGCCGAAGAAGGAACACTCACGGGATAATCCTATCGTTCCAGTCCCGCTTGAACTTGTACTTGAACTTGCGTAGCCTGCGAAACAAGATGTGTGAAGTGGGGGCGCTAATAGACCACTCCCATCCTGATGTACTCGCGTTCACTAAAACCTGGTTGTCTTCTGACGTCATGGACGGTGAATTATACGTTCCGGGCTACGCAATACTGAGATCTGACCGCCCATCTGATCGCCGTGGTGGTGGTGTCGCCTTGTATATCAGGTGTGGTGTAAACATATCCAAAACACATACCTTTAACTCAGCTGATAAAACTGTGGTAGCTCTTTCAGTTGAAGTCTGTACCGAATCATTGCAATTTAAAATTGTGCTGCTGTATAGGAGCCCTGATAGCGCTTCTAGGAGTTTCATTGACTTCATCCGCACTCACTCTGCGAACAGATGCTTGATAATGGGGGACTTCAACTTCCCTGAAGTAAATTGGCATGACTTATCTTGTGAGGCAGCGACAACAGGGTTGGCTGCCGAGCTTGTTGACTTGACACTAGAAGTACCCTTACACCAGTTTGTCGATCGACCCACCAGGTACACGGTGGGTCAAGCTCCTTCTCTGTTGGACCTAGTTTTTGCAAAGTCGGTTGACTTTGTGAGTGACCATACGTGTTTGTCATTCACTTGTGCTCTCATTACAGACTACGATTCACGCAGGGTCCCGACTCCGAACATTTGGCACGCCGATTTTCCGTCTATTAGAGCCAAGGCAGTAGGTTTCCCATGCATCATCTTGCTGGATGATGATATACAGACGGCTTGGGATACGTTTAAGTCTTTCCTCTTTAACGTATCCCACCCCCACATCCCTCTTTCGCTAAAGAAGTGTGCCAAAGCGAAGCCACTATGGTTAGACTCAGTCGCACACCAGCTAATGAATAGACGTGCAAGATGCTGGCGGATCTACCGAACAGTTCTCTCAGAATGTACTTTTCGGCGTTATCGGGAAGCTCGGAATGCTTGCAAGAGTCATTTACGAGCTACTAGACTTAGCTATGAGATGGAGCTGGCTAACTCAGCCTCCGCGAATCCCAAAAGATTCTTCGCCTACGTCAAAAGGCGTAGTAACGTTGGCTCATCTATCCCAGTGTTATTAGGCAGCGACAGCGCCACCGCCACCACTGATCATGAAAAAGCATGTCTACTGAGTGCGCAGTATGCCGGAACTTTTGTTCGGGATGAGCAATTGCCGCATCTTGACCTAGCAATGACAGTCCACAGGACTCCTGTTTAACACACGTCACAATTTCGGAGGCAAAAGTTCTTCATCTTCTTCAGGCTCTAAATCCTGTTAAATCCGCTGGGATGGATGATATTCACCCTAAGCTTCTGTACGAGCTAGCAAGCGAGCTATGTGGCCCAGTGACTCGTTTGTTTCAATTGTCACTTCGCAGCTGCTCCTTTATTAAGGACTGGAAGGATGCTATCGTTTGCCCGACTTTTAAAAAGGGCGACAAGCATCTTCCTGCAAATTATAGACCAGTAAGTTTGACAAGCGTACTGGTCGAGGTATTGGAGAAGTTGGTCAGTGATGTGCCTGAAGACCACCTGCGGGAGTATGGTCCGCTCAGTCCACTGCAACACGGCTTTCGCAAGGGTCATTCCTGTATGACTAATTTGCTAGTTGCACGCGAATGTTGGGCGGATGCTTTGGATCGGGGTCATGCAGTAGATGTCGTGTTTATTGACTTCTCCAAGGCGTTCGACACTGTATCACATTCTCGCCTTTCCTTGAAACTTCGGTCCCATGGAATATCCGGGGGTATACTAAAACGGCTCACCACGTTTCTGGAAGGGAGAAAGATGTGTGTTCGTGTCGGGTCTAGTCTGTCCTTCCGACAGTCAGTCCTCAGTGGGGTCCCTCAGGGTTCGGTGCTTGGCCCGTTGTTGTTTTCCTTGTATGTCAAGGAGCTGCCCGAACTGCTGGAGGTACCATCTCTCATGTTTGCAGATACCTAAAGTTTTGGCACATAGTGTCTGACTTCGATGGACCCCAGATTCTGCAACGGGCCCTCGATCAACTTTGGGATTGGGCTGCTCTGTGGCAGTTGCCCATAAACTATGCAAAGTGTTCCATCTTACGAGTAGGGCCAAATAGCCCCCAAACGCGTTATTTTCTTGGCGGTAATGAACTCCACCATGTTGCCCAATTGGTAGACCTAGGGGTCACATTGTCTTCAGAACTTAAATTCAGTGAGAACTGGAGGAAAGCTACGTGCAAGGGTTTCAGAATGTTGTGGATGATCCGCAGGGCATTCGGGACCATCACGGGAGCTATGTTTGTTAGGTTATTCTCAGCGTTTGTCAGGCCACACTTGGAATACTGCATCCAGGCTTGTCCACCTAGCTTAGTCAGGGACAGGATGTCAGTGGAGAGAGTGTTGAGAGTTGGAACCAAGCTGGTCCATGGACTGCGGAACCATTCTTACCCAGAAAGACTACTTGCGCTGGGGATGTGCTCGATGCACTATCGTCAACATCGAGGCAACCTAGTCTTGACCTATCGTATACTTACCGGTAAAACCGGACCCGATTTATCCGGGCTTATCCAACCGGCTCGGCTTCCATCGCTCCGCGGTCACTCGCTGAAGCTACACAAACCTCGATCGGATGGAATCCGGGCGGACTTTCGTTTATCACGCCGAGTGGTGGATTCCTGGAATGCACTGCCCGAAAACGTGGTATTGGCACCAACGGTGAAAGAGTTCGAACACCGACTCGACGCTCTTGGCCTTCAATTCTTAACATTCCCCTTCACTTCCTAGTTTATTTGTTTTATTGAAATATTAAATCTTTTTTTCTTGACGCTCTTATTACTTTCGTACTTCTTTTTCTTATTTCACGTGACCGGTGCGGCGGGGACTGCCAGTGCAGGTCGCGTGGGTATTAATTGGTTGACCGTGGTGTGATTCGCGCGCGTTGATCTGACTCTTCTGGATTCCAGTTATCGCGGAAGAATAATACCCTGGATCAACGACGCGTCACGGAAGGAACATTCACGGGGACTTATCCTACTGTTCCGGTCCCACTTGAACTTGAACTTATAATTTCGGAGAGTTGACAAGAGTCAAATTTGGTTGCGGTTTTTACTAGAACACTTCTTTTCAAGATATATTAAAAGGATTTGACAAACGACAAATCCTGTTCCTAGTTTCTGTTCGAAAACTGTTTCCAACGCTATTTCGGCCTAAAAATCGAAGAACGACAAAAAATGCGCTACCACGTAGTACTCACAGAGATCTTAGAGATTTGCAACAGCGCAATCTAAAAGGCAAAATTATTTGGTACCCTAAAATGCTTTACAACGGGAATATAATGCCTAATTTGTTGCAGCATTAAAGGTTTGACTCACCAGCGGAATGGTTGATCGGGGAACAAAGGGACTTGTTTGTATCGTTCATGTGGTAGGCGGTCATTTCGTCGGCGTTGGAGTTGTTGTCGCGTGTTTTTGTTTTCGCCTAGTTGGAATCATATTTCAGTGCCATGAGCTTAGTTAACAGCACAAAGCGAGCTGTTGTGTCCACTTTGGTAGCTTGAGTTAGTTTGGGAGCCTACCAGGCAAATCGTACTTGGCCGGAGTACCGTGTAACCTGTTATGACTCGGTGCCTGACTACTTGTTCTGTCGAGATCATGCGCCCAGAGCAGTACGATATTCCATGTGGTGACGAGGACGAAGAGTATGATGATGACTTTGACGACGACGACGAGCTTGACGGATACGATGGTTTTAGTGATCTCGACGATGGGGAGATTGAAGACGGTCGACCAGTCGCATACCACGGAAACGGGTTGGACGATGAACGGGCGAGAAACGTTTCGCGGCGTCATCGGTCGATGAGTGAAGGGAGCGAACTTATCTTGGAAGCTGGTGATGATAATCGGTGGGTACTTGTCTTCGTTTCAGTTTGTACCACGGTCTGGTTAGCTTTTTCTTATTTCTTCACAAAAGTTTTTTCGTTCTTCAGACATTAGTTGATGCTTTACTGAAGTCGTGGACTCGGTGTTTTACATGTCTTGGTTCTCCACTGAGCTACGCAGACGTACCTTACGCGCTACTTGAACTACACAAACCACCTTTCCTCTTCAACTTTGTGCTCGAAATGATCATGAATGACACAGTTATTTCATGCTCTACGGAAGGTAATTTCTGCTAGACGACCGATTGACAAACCTGGAGTATGCGGACGACATCGTTCTTCTCGAGTCTGACGCTGTGGATATGCAAACACTATTGGATAGACTTACACGTAGTGCTGCACGCTTCAGCATGAGCTTCGCATCTTCAAAGTGCAAAGTAGTTGTAGAATTTGACCGACACACCTCCGGTTCTAGCTATCACCGAATATCTACTGGAAGTGGTGTATTGGTACACTTACCTTGGCAGCTGTGCCTCGTCTGGTGATCACATCACAGGTGGTTACCGCTCAAAAGCAAGGCTTGTGTGACTTACCAGTGACAACCATCTATGGAGATGGTGGGAAGTCAGCCTGATTTGTAGGTAGGGCGTATAACTGCGAGTGGGCCGGTATTGCTATATGGATCATGTACCTAACCATTTCGCGACGAAGACATGAAACGCTTGGCTGTGTTTGACCCCCGGTGCTCGCGGATCATTTCTCACGTTTGGTGGAAACACCGGATGAGCAATGCTGAGGTCCGTCAGTTGGTTTTTGACTTGAACCCGTCTGGTGCCTCACTTTATTGTTTATTGTTTCTTAACCGCTTACGTTGGTTAGGCCATATCCTCGGCATACCCGCTGACCGACTTCCTCGGCTTGCATTATGCGCCGTGGATGTACCATGTTCGTTGAAACCACGAGGTGGCCAGTCCATGACGTGACATAGGAGCATGAAAGAATTGACTGAGACTTGGTCGTTTTGGTGCGTCCCGTCTTCTAGAATGAGGGCCTCGGCATGATCCACACCAATAGTCGGAGACCGGATCAGACATAGCGCGTTCACGCGATCAGTGGCGTTTCTGCACCCGGTTTCTTGCATCTGGTTGTTAGGTCAGGTCAGGTCAAGATTCAAGGACGACAGCCTTCCGCCTACCGAACGTCCTGGTTCTTTCACCGGTAAGCGAACCAGTGCTTCCGGCACTTCGACGTTTGATCGGCTCTTATTGCTTTGCATAGGAACTGGAGCAAGGACGGGAACAATGTTGCATTTTTGTGGATCCACATGAAATTTCACTGCACGGTGTCTTGCTACTAAATTTCGCTAACTTCACAATATTTCTGCACGAGATGTGACCAACACCTATCTAAACCTCTTGAAAGCTACTACAGTCTCGTGCTTCACTAACTCAGAAGGTACTTAATTCCAGCTGCGTAACACACGGTCTGCGAAAGTCTTCGCCCTGATGTTCAACCTATCCCTCTCCTGCTTAAGCTTCAAACGATGTCTGTGCAAGTGATCGGAAGCAACCAGCTCAATCAAATTATTAGGCTTGACGCCGTTTATACCCTTCATTATCTTAGACGTCTATCAGATCGCCTGTCTACACTGCTCTAGGGAAACATCGGCCCCTAGACTAGTGGTAACGAGTTTGTCTCGTTATCTTGCGGCGCGTGTTCGAATCCGCTTTGGGTGGGCGTCCTCGCGGTATACTTAGCTCGCGTGCGACTGGTGGTGGTCCCACGGCAGCGAAGCACCATTACGACGTACAGCTGACATTATTTCATTTATCATTTAGGGAAAACAATCCCAAGTTCTTTAGGCGATCTTCCTACGACTTTCCATGTTGACATTCAGTCATCCTGGTTCTCAGTTTTCAAGTCTTTTCCGTACACATAACATCACCACGGAGATAGTGCGACCACGTCTGAACACAGAACTCTAGATGCGGCGTAACCACTGCTTTGTACAATGGCAGGAATACTTCTGGCTTGGAGTTACACAGTGCTTTCTTGAAGCAAAACAATTCTTGCCGCGGTTTGTTGACAGCGTATCGACACTGCACCGAAGGCTTGAAACTGCTCACCACGATGTCTAAATCACATGCCTGGTTAGTGCTCTAAAAGACTGCATTGCAATCCCGTCTCCATTAGTGATCAACTGTTGACATTGGAGGCAAATCTTATTGCTTCGACCTGTTAACCACATTGATGTTATCTTTGGTCAGTTTTGCTCTTTTGCCCCTACTGACCAGCTTTAAGTTGTCTGTAAAGTTATGAGTCTTCAAAAAGAGGAGCCAAGTCGTTTACAAACATATTAAACAATAGAGGACTAAGTACCGTTCCTTGAGGGACGCCACTATGGGCCGCGACCATACGAGAACTCACCTCACCGATATCAACTCGAAACGTCCTCCCACTTAAGAATTCCGACACCCAAGACAGAACTTCAGAATGCAATCCAAACCGTGTCAATTTCTCAAGTAAGAAACGGGGATCTACAGTCGAGGTAGTATATCTCTACCGCAATCCTGTCATCAAGATATCGAGTAGTCCCAAATAAAAAACTCAGTAAGTTAGTGAGGCACGACTTCTTGATGGAACCATGCTGTTCCGCTCTAATTAGGTAATGTTCCGCCACGTGCTCACAAATCCGGCTTTCCTAAGCACTTGATCAAGATAGGTCAGACTGACAGATCTGTAGTTACGCAGCTCCGATTTAGAGCTCGCCTTATGGATCGCGACTATGGTTACTTCCTTCCAATCTTATGGTAACTTGCATTCCTATTGATATTTGACGCTATTCGTTCTATTCTGATTAGTCTACCGCACCTACTTGATTCCATTTTCTTCGTCTTATTTGCATTCAAGCTCACTGTCTTACCGCTGTTATTGTTATTCTAGCGATGAGTCGTGGCAACTGGATCAACGGCACTTCGGTGCTCGGATCCTAATTGTTCAGCTGAACTGTACTGAATGCAGACTAGTGTCTACATACTAGATGCACACAGGTTCGCTATCCTTTTTATATCAAATTGAGAAAAGTCCAATAACTTCGCCCGTAGCCTAGAGGTAACGCGCTTGTAATCTTGCGGCGCGGGTTCGAATCCGCATAGGGGTGGGCGTTCTCTCGGTGTACTCAGCCTGCGTGCAACTGGTGGTGGTCACACGGCAGCGAAGCGCCACTACGGATTACAGCTGACACATTAATATTATTAGGTCAGGAAGATTGATTTACAAGCTGGTTATGGGCTCCACTGTCTATCTTTGGTGGCGGAAAAGCATTCTCGTTGCCGTATCTGAACACCCCATGATCGAACAGATGTAATCACATTGATCCAGGTGCTATCTGCCTGGCCGCCTTTGCACCGTCCGCTCCTACGATCGGTTTCATACAATCGACACCCGATTTGGAACTACTCTCCATTGTTATTGAGTTAAAGGCTCCGATGTACTGTAGGTTAATCCCAATTCCTTCCGTTGCTTTGTTAATCGGACTTTTGAGTCTCAACGACGTATGTAAAGATCCAACCATGACTCCGGGGAATTGACACCAGATTGTCATCTACCTGTTACGCCTCATTGCCCCATTTCTTCCTTCCTTATTCTATTTTACTTTACAGATTCTCCGGGTAAACTGGTAAAAATCGACCCATGAATTTTTTAGAATGTGTTTCTAGTTTGGCCGAGTAGTTTACCAAACCAAGGATCTCAACCCACTTCACCAATTCAACATTCGCCAACAAGCATTACTGACACTCAGTCTTCATTCCCTTGGAACGGGCGAGTTACGTCTCCGAGCTATGCATACTAGATAGCTGCATCCAAACCATTCGGCTCAAGTTTAGTTGATACTAATCATTCTTTCCGTCTCTGGTAGTAATGAATCCACCGTTCGGTGGATTCCGGTGTTGCACTCAGCACTAAGCATGAAAGCAGTCTGATTAATCCCAACGAATAGCCGCATTCTTGCCGGTATGTTTCGGTAATCTATTCACGTCATTAGGTGGTCACAAAACACGTTGTTTCTTGTTCCGATTTGCAGTCCTGTTGGCTAAGTTCGGAAGACGTCAAAATCCTCAGATGTCAGCATCATGCTAGACGACGTAACCTCGGTTCGTAGCCTAGAGGTAACGAGCTTGTCTCGTAATCCCGCGGCGCAGGTTCGAATCCGCATAGGAGTGGGCGTCCTCGCGGTATACTCAGCCTGCCTGCGACTGGTGGTACTCGCACGGCAGCGAAGCGCCGTTACGGCGCACAGCTGACACATTGTTTTGTTATTATTTGGACGTAAATATTCACGTGGGTCGCTCGTCAGCGACCAAAGGACGGGCCATTCTCGGGTCGACGCACGTCAGACCTGAAATGGTGATCGGTTTCGGGGCGCACAATAACCTTCATATTGACATGGCAAAGCTCCTTGCCGTGTCCCCTCATCATTAACACCCGTTAGCCGAGGGTGATGAGCGCACCTCAGCTGATGTGCCGCAATCGTCATCATCATCATCAACAGCAGTACATCGGCCAATTGATCTAATGCTTCTCTGCCGTGCAACCATGAGGACCTATGACATAAAGAATAAAAAACGGAGAGAAGGGGGACTTATCTAAAAACATTAATGCCTTAAGCAAACATTCAGGGTCAATGCACCTACACCTCGTGTAGACAACATACCGTCACAAACACCTGGCTGTCGTGAAAAGATAAGGCGGCATCGGCGAGACAGCTTTCTTGAGGCTTTCACTGCCCCTCATCATAATCAGCCATTACCCCGCAGATAAATCAGCACCAAACACTTTAAACAGGCAATCCGATTAAGATACGGCAGCAGACGCTCCACCGGCGTCTACTTCGAGCCATGTCCTGTAACGTCGAGCCAAGCACAAGGCGAGTCACGTGGACTCCAGCTCGAAAGACGGGACGGACCAGCGCCACCCAGTTTGGTCGTCACTGACTTTATTTCCCGCTGCCAACTCAACTTCTG